TCCACGTCAAAACGCCGCCCCATCGCACTTCCGTCGACAGACGCCACCGCCGGCACCACCCCCACCGACGTCATACCGTTCGCCAGCGGCCCAGCGCAGTGCACCGAGGAAGACTGACGTCTGGCGCACCCCTGACCATCGCCCGCTCTGCTACCACTGCGGCGAGGCCGGACACACATGCCGCCGTTGCCAGTACCGACAGATGGGATTGCGTGGCTTCGCCGTCAATGCACCGCGCCCACAGCCAGGAGAACGACCACGTGACATCGCCGACTACCTGACAGGAACTCGGTGGACACCACGAAGCCCTTCGCGTTCGCCGTCGCCCAGCCGCCGCACGTCACCGCACAACCGACAGTACTCTGGCCCAACGCGGGGCCGGTCTCCTAGCCCGTATCCGGGAAACTAAGGGCAGCAACCGGTGGAGGTGCGGTTGCTGTGCGACGAACTACCGAAGATCCTCCTCCGACGACGACGCCGCGACGGAGCTTTCCGAACACAACGCCAACCAGGCAAAGCCCTGACGGCGAAAGCTCACTTACCGAAGGTGGCCTGACGACGCAACATGGAAGCAGCGGAACAAGCCGACGCAGCCGTGACCCGACGCCACGCCCTAACTGTAATGCGAGACGGCGAATCAGCGACCTCGACGTTCTTATCGACGGCCGCAGTGTGACCGCTCTCGTCGATACTGGAGCCGACTATTCTGTCATCAGTGGGTCGTTCGCCGCGAAGTTAAAGAAAGTTAGGACAGCTTGGAAAGGCCCTGAAATCCGCACAGCCGGAGGTCATCTCGTAACGCCTGCAGGAATCTGCACAGCGAGAGTCACCATTAACGGCCGTATTTATCCTACAGACTTCGTAGTCCTACAGCGTTGCTCGAGAGATGTCATCCTTGGCATGGACTTCTTATGCCTCCATGGTGCTGTCATCAACCTAAAAACAAAGTCGATAACGTTATCCACAGAAGAAGCACTACCGCCGTGCACGCCGTCAGGACACCATGCCTTGAATGTGCTGGAAGAACAAGTCACCATTCCGCCTCGCTCAAGCGTCATTATTTCAGTCGGCGCTCCTGAATCACCTGACTTCGAAGGCGTCGTTGAAGGCAGTCAGCATCTGTTGGTCACCCGAAATATTTGCGTCGCAAGAGGAATTGCAGAGTTGCGGGGAGGCAAAGCAACGGTTATGCTCACAAATTTCAGCAATGAGTACAAACATGTGAACAAAGGAACAACGGTCGCATACATCGAAGAAATTGTCGAAGCCACCAGTGCTTTCGCCCTCGCCGATTCTGCGGAACCTGCTCAGAGGAACCAAGCCCCTCCCATAGCTTTCGACGTCAATCCCAGACTTCCGAACGATAAGCAAGAACAGCTCAAGGCCCTGCTCCTGCAATACGAAGATTGCTTTTCGTCGTCATCGAAAACTCGGCAGACCTCAATCACGAAGCATCGCATCATAACCGAAGAAAATGCCAGACCACTCCGTCAGAGTCCGTACAGGGTTTCGACGCGAGAACGTGAGGCCATGAAGAGACAAGTTGATGAAATGCTGCGGGATGACATTATCCAGCCGTCCAAGAGCCCATGGGCATCCCCCGTGGTGTTAGTGAAGAAAAAGGATGGGACCCTACGTTTCTGCGTCGATTATCGCCGCCTGAACAAAATCACAAGAAAGGACGTGTATCCTCTCCCACGAATAGACGACGCACTTGATCGGCTCCATAACGCCAAGTACTTTTCGTCAATGAACCTCAAGACTGGCTATTGGCAAATCGAAGTCGACGGAAGAGACCGAGAAAAGACGGCGTTTATAACACCGGACGGAATCTTCGAGTTTAAGGTGATGCCCTTCGGCCTTTGCTCAGCGCCTGCAACTTTTCAACGCGTTATGGATACAGTGCTGGCAGGATTGAAGTGACATACTTGCCTTGTGTACTTGGACGACGTCGTCGTGTTTTCCTCGAGTTTCGACGAGCATCTTCGGCGCCTTGAAGCTGTACTTCAAGCCATCAAGACTTCCGTACTCACACTGAAGCCAGAAAAGTGCAGATTTGCGTATGAAGAGCTCTTGTTTCTGGGGCACGTTATCAGCAAGTCTGGAGTTCGTCCTGATCCACGGAAAACAGCCGCCATCGCCGAATTCCCGCCGCCCACTGACAAGAAAGCCGTGCGCCGATTTCTGGGCCTGTGCGCCTAATATAGGCGGTTCGTGAAAAACTTCGCCCGCATCGCCGATCCTCTCACTAACCTTACCAAGGCCGACGTGGAGTTCAAGTGGGAAACGCCACAGGAACACGCTTTCCAGGAGCTTAAACATCGCCTCCAGACGCCTCCGTTACTTGCCCCATTTCGACGAATTCGCCGAGACAGAAATACATACTGACGCAAGCAGCGTAGGTCTTGGCGCCGTTCTTGTGCAGAGGGCTGACGGACTTGAAAGGGTTATTAGTTACGCCAGCCGATCGCTATCCAAAGCAGAAGCAAATTATTCCACAACAGAAAAGGAGTGCCTCGCCATCATCTGGGCTACGTCGAAATTTCGCCCATACCTCTACGGCAGGCCCTTCAAAGTTGTGAGCGACCACCACGCCTTGTGTTGGCTAGCCACTTTGAAGGACCCTTCAGGTCGCCTCGCATGATGGAGCCTGAGACTTCAAGAATATGACATTACTGTCATTTACAAGTCCGGCAAAAAACACTCCGACGCCGACTGTCTCTCTCGTGCGCCTGTCGACCAACCGCTACCCGACGACCCGGATGACGACTACTTCTTGGTAACGATAACTACCGACGACTTCGCTGAACGACAGCGGGCCGACCCGGAACTTAAGGCTTTTATAGAATACCTCGAAGGCAGGACCGCCGAAGTCCCGAAGGTATTCAAGCGCGCACTTCCGTCGTTTTTTCTACGAAACGGTCTCCTACAAAAGAAAAACTTTTCACCGCTTCGGGCTAAGTATCTCCTTGTGGTGCCTTCAGCTCTGCGACCAGAACTCCTGCAGGCCCTGCACGACGATCCGACGGCAGGGCACCTCGGTGTTTCTCGCACGCTCGCGAGGATACAAGAAAGGTACTACTGGCCACGTCTTACCACCGACGTCACTCGTTATGTGAGGACATGCCGGGACTGTCAGCGACGCAAGACACCGCCGACAAGGCCAGCGGGACTTCTGCAGCCAATTGATCCACCTTGCCGACCTTTCCAGCAGATTGGTATGGACCTACTGTGGCCGTTCCCGACGTCGGCTTTCGGAAACAAGTGGATCGTGGTAGCTACCGACTACCTCACCCGCTACGCCGAGACAAAAGCCCTGCCAAAAGGCAGTGCATCCGAGGTAGCTAAGTTCTTCGTCGAAAATATCGTCCTACGTTACGGCGCCCCGGAGGTCCTTATCACCGACAGAGGAACGGCATTCACTGCCGACTTAACTCAAGCGATCTTGGCATACAGCCAAACAAACCACCGCCGGACGACAGCGTACCACCCACAGACCAACGGCCTCACCGAGCGGCTTAACAAGACGATCGCCGACATGCTGTCAATGTACGTCGATGTCGAACACAAGACGTGGGATGCCATTCTTCCGTATGTGACCTTCGCATACAACACGGCGGTGCAGGAGACGACGCAGATATCTCCATACAAATTGGTCTACGGAAGGAGCCCGGCAACGACGCTCGATGCCATGTTACCCAACGTCACCGACGAAGAAAACCTCGATGTGAGCGAGTACCTTCATCGCGCCGAAGAAGCCCGACAACTTGCGCGGCTCCGTATCAAGAATCAACAGACGACCGACAGCCACCGTTACAACCTTCGACGACGCTTCGTGGAATACCAGCCCGGGGAACGTGTTTGGGTGTGGACGCCGATACGCCGACGTGGACTAAGTGAAAAGCTTCTGCGACGGTATTTCGGACCGTACAGGGTGGTTCGACGTCTCGGCCCACTTGATTACGAGGTTGTCCCCGACGGCATCACGAACTCTCAACGACGCCGATCGCGACCTGAAGTCGTCCATGTCGCACGCCTCAAGCCGTTTCATGCGCGTTAACAAACTGAAACAGTGTTTTTTTGTATTATTGTTGTATCGTAATTTATTCATTGTACTTTCTTGCATTATTATTGTACCTTCATCTTTAGTTAAAGCATCGAGACGATGCCTTTTTCAGGGGGGGCAATGCCACGTTCCATTTCCCAAGTTTTTGTTATCGTCCCAAAACACCACACGATTTTCAGTGCAAACCGCGCCTGCAGTTTTCGAGAGGGTTCCGGACTGTAGTAGATCATTTCGATAAGATCACGCCCACTGTGCGAATGGTACAGATTGTTCTGGAACGTACGCCACCACCAGCGATAGCGCTAGAACATTCGACGGCGGGAGTATAAATGCCGACGCGCTTCGCCGCTTGTCAGTTGTTGATCGAAGGCCGACGCTCCGTTCGCCGCTATCAGTCTGAGACTGCTATCTGTGCGAGACTTCTGCTTTAATTGGACTTTCTGTTTACCGGGCACAGGTTCGCCCAAATAAACAGTTAAATACCAACAAGAAGTTTCCTGTCTTCGGCCACGTCACGACCCCGTGACACTATGAAGTAAGCAAAAGTAATCAGGAAGAGAATGAGTAACTTTCTCGAAATTACTCGTTACATAAATTTATTATGTTATTAAAATACGAGCCCTCAAAAGTAAATCACAACGGTATTAACGAGAAGAAAAGGTGCTTTCTTTACTCTAGTTGCATTACTTCAGTTTCATTATTGTTAAGGCTAGATAGGAACTTTATGAAGAATGAAGTGGAAGCACAGGTGGGTCAAGTGCCTTTCAAGACCTCTCGGCTAACACACCAGCAGTAAAGGCCTATTGTAAACAGCTTGTGTTGTCATGTGATTGCACGCGTGGCACGCACAACTGTGGCCTACTTTAACAATGAAGTTGAGAAATTCGAAAAGACAAATGTCGAGGAGGGACACTTGCATGGTGTGTCCCCTCAGACTGATCATTGGGGAGGGGAAGGTCCTGGCCCCCCTGACCCCTGCACCCCATTTTTACGCCGCTGCGCTGTACTCACAGAGCTCGCTGGAGGTGGTGCACCGCCTGCTGTCCTTCTCGGGAATGTGGAGCTGGGCTTCCATACTGCTGTTCGTGGCCTGCGCCGGCGCAGTCGCCGGTCAGCAGTTCTTCATCAGGGCCTGGACAGATGCCGTGGGGAGAAGGGTCGCCAACGAGGACAGACGACGCTCGGACGCTGCCTGGGTGGCTGGTCTCGTTTTCGTCTCTCTGTGCGACGGTAGGCGTGGGGACACGACGCGTTTAGCACCTGTGCACTTAAGAGTCTTAAGGCCCATAACTTACCCACGGTAGATGGCCCTCAGTATTACAGTGCCATTTAATCTCTTTCCCAGTGACACACAATGGTTGCCAATCAAAATAACTAGTCTCTACCTGCGATAAGCTTTGCTACGTACTTAGAAGTCTATTATTTTTAATGATGACCATTCCACAGAAGTTCATCTAGTTCAGAAGGATCTTGCATCTCTCGAGTTTTGCGGTGTGCTACAGAGACACACCGCAGGCATACGCAGGATTCCGCACAAGAAGGTGCAAGTCTTACCGCAGTGTCGCCCCTTTTATTTTTATTTTTGCATTACTGGACAAGTGTGACCAAGACCGGACGCACACACATGTTATATGCATTCACCGGTTATTCGCAGTGCTGTTCCGCTGCCTGGGCGTGGTGGCCATGGCGTGGGGCAACCAGCGGCTGTCGCAGCGGCTTCACGCCAACATGCTGAGCCGGCTTCTGTCCAGCCCGACGTCCTTCTTTCGACTCCACGCCCCGAGGTCGCATCGTGACCCGCTTCTCGCTCGACCTGTACGCCGTCGACCTGCGCCTCTTCCTGAGCGGCAAGCAGTGCGTGCAGAACGTGCTCGTGGCCATGGGCAAACTGTGCGTGGTCGCCAGCCAGGCCTCGATCGTCGTGCTCGTCGGCTGCTGTCGGCGCGCTCGCAACGCTCGTGGCGCTGGTGAGGGGATCTCACGACGAGCTCGTATTCGCAGAGCAACGATACGGGCCTGTAGCCTCGGTGAAGCGAAGTACACTTGATGTGAAATAGCTTTTTTCGTATCCGAGCCTTTGTTCTAAACCGATTTCTAAACTTAGTGCGAGGACAGAAACGCAAGTCAGGTGACGATTATAGGCCTTTTCACTGAAGGCTCCTTGGGCCCTGCCATAATCTTTTCTGAGCTGTTGTTAAATTGCGTGACCCCTCGAGAACGCACGGCCGAGGCTGTGACGTGAGCTTTTGTACTCCCGTGCAACAGCCCAGAAAGGAGAGAATTCTCCTCTTCGTAAAAAAGATCTATTGTTGTGAGACCAAAAGAAGCCATTTTTACTCGCTCATTTGTTAGAGTGTCGATCATGTTGTTCGTCATTCATTAGGATAGGAGGGGAGGTGGGGACATGTGGACATTTTGCAAATAGTTGCACGTGCTTTTTGTCTCCGCTCTGCTTTCAGCCTTGATTTGGTGTTTCTTTCAAGCGTCGGGTAGCAAACCTTAAGTATGTGTGCCTTCTAACATGCTTGGCCGTCCCTCATATCCTCACATGCATATTTGATTGCCCCATTTTCCAATCACTGATGCTCTACAATACCCGCCGTGATTGGCTAGTTTTTGGTGCTGGACTTCTGAATAGGAGGCCGTCGGATCTAATCCCGATCGTGACCGTCCGCATTTAATAGGAGGCAAAATTCTTGAGGCCAGTGTCCTTAGATATGGACGCACGTTAAAGAAGCCTCCGAGGCCAAAACTTCTTGAGCCCTCGACTGCTGCGACTTCCAGACAATTATAAGGTGGCTTTCGGTATCAAAACCAAAGCAGCTATTAATATACCCTCTTCGATTGGAATCTATCTTAGCAAATGAGCAGTGAATAGCGGGACAAGTGCATTCCTGTGTATGCTGCCCAGTGCACCTTCTCACTTCCGGCAGGTGTACAGCGTCCGCGCGGCGTCGCTGGTGCTGTACACGGAGGCGGCGCTGGTGGCCCGAGCCATGCAGCACGTCGGTCGAGACCCGGGACACGCTGAGCACGGTGCGCAGCTTCGGCGCCGTGGGCCGCTTCTGCCGACTCTACTGCCGCCTGGTGGACGCCGAGGCCAGGGCGTTCGGCGCGTACCTCGCCTCCTACCGCGTCACCCGCTGCCTGGCCGCACTAGCGGGACTCGGCGTGGTGCTGGCCACCCTGGGATTCACGCTCGCCGCCAGTGGCGGCTCCGCTAGCGCCGACGTCGGCCTGGCTCTCAGCTCGGCGCTGTCGGTAACTATGCACACTCGTTATCAATCGAAAACCGGACATGTAGTAAAAGTTAAATATAGTTTTCGCATTACTACTTCATTGTTGTTCTGGTGTTAACGCCCGCTCCCTAGGCCCAATACTACTGAGAGAGTGGAAGATAGAGATAGCTTGACTAACTATATGGTACGTGCACGCCGATATCATGCTTGAATAAAACAAATAAAGCAAAGAGGAAGTGAACGAAAAGACAGCGAAGATAGAGATATGCAACTATCATGTCAGAAAACCCGCTTAACGTTAGCTTAGTGAGAAAACCTTCCGCTCTCGGGCGGAAAGTTTGGCTGGCTCCTTCGTGTGTAGACAAAATGGGTGACAATTGCAGACAAAATCTGAAGGCGGTGCGCTGCGCTCACACAGCAACGCTTGACTCGTAGCGGGGTGGCGCTGCTGCGCTAAGGCGTTATATGTATTTATATTTTCGAAGGTCGCAGGTTCGGTTCCTGCTCACGGCAAGTTATCTTTTCGCCCATTTTCTGTCTTCATTTAACTTACAATTTCGTCTAATAATTAATCTCCCCTATACTTTCCTTGTTATTATTGTCCTTTAGATCTCATTAATACTGTGTCTAAACACGGAAAAAACGAGCCCTTAAGTTTACACTTCTTTCCATATATATATATAGATTATATATATATATATATATATATATATATATATATATATAATATATATATATATATATATATATATATATATATAAATATATATATATATATATATATATATATATATATATATATATATATATATATATATATATATATATATATATATGTGTGTGTGTGTGTGTGTGTGTGGTGTGTGTGTGTGTGTGTGTGTGGAGAGAGAGACAGACCGTAGTGGAGGGCTCCAGAAATTTCGACCACCTGGGGCATCCAAATCACAACACACGGGCCTACAGCATTCTCGCCTCCATCGAAAATGCAGCCGCAACCGGGATTTGATCCCACAACCTACGGGTCAGCAGTCAAGTACTTTAGCGACTAGACCACCGTGGTGGGGCTACGCTAAGACGTTGACCACTGCGAGAAACCAGGAGAGGTATTCTCGCGGTTCAGTAAAACCGAAAGTTGGGCGAGTTGGTGATAGTTCATGGTTACAAATAAGCAGCGCACGACGTTTTACAAAAGAGAGACGATAGGGACACCGCTGCACTCTCAACTAGTTTATTTCGTAAAAGACCTTGGTTATTATACAACAAGACGGTGTACCACGTGCTACAATGACAACGTATTTTCTAAAAAGCCAACTTCGCAATCGCTCAAAGTAATCGATGCTTGGCTTATACAGTAATCTTTTCTTTTTGCGATGTGGAAGGCCTCGATCACTTCCCTTGTCATCTTATCTCTGTGGCTGGCAAGAATTTTAGTCTCAGAGAACAGCGGGGAGCAGCCACATTCCAAGCAATGCCGTCTTAAGTGCGAGTAGGCCTTATTAGCTAATGCTCTCTTGTGCTCCGTTAACCTTGTATTTATGCACCGGCCCGTTTGACCGATGTACATTTTCCCACATGACATGAGCAAACAGTAAACCACCGCGGTTCTGCACTCAACAAATGAAACAATGTGCTTAACAGAGCACCGACACCTATCCTTTTTTGTCAATCGCTTTCTATCTAGCCTAGCGCATATCTTTCCTAGTTTGTTAGGTGCAGAAAAAAACAACTTGTAATCCATACCGGCTGCCTACATTCTTTAGATTATGTGATATACTGTGCGCATAGGGTATGGAGACACATTTCTTTTTCTTTTCTTCATAATTCCTCTCAATTTGAGGCTGCTCCAAAGATATATTCTTGCGCACAAGATGAACCAACTTCTGTGCGGTTCTGCGCAGAACATGCTCTTCGTAACCCGCACTAGCCAATCTATCTACTTGTCTGATGAAGCTATCATTAACTTTGTGGGGACAAGATTTGGCCAAGGCAGCGCGGAGACAAGAGAAGGCTATGCCATTCTTAACTGTCTTTGAATGCCCGGAAGAATAGCTGAGCAGGGGCTTCTCAGATCCACGATCTGAGAAACCCCCTGCTCAGCTATTCTTCCGGGCATTCAAAGACAGTTAAGAATGGCATAGCCTTCTCTTGTCTCCGCGCTGCCTTGGCCAAATCTTGTCCCCACAAAGTTAATGATAGCTTCATCAGACAAGTAGATAGATTGGCTAGTGCGGGTTACGAAGAGCATGTTCTGCGCAGAACCGCACAGAAGTTGGTTCATCTTGTGCGCAAGAATATATCTTTGGAGCAGCCTCAAATTGAGAGGAATTATGAAGAAAAGAAAAAGAAATGTGTCTCCATACCCTATGCGCACAGTATATCACATAATCTAAAGAATGTAGGCAGCCGGTATGGATTACAAGTTGTTTTTTTCTGCACCTAACAAACTAGGAAAGATATGCGCTAGGCTAGATAGAAAGCGATTGACAAAAAAGGATAGGTGTCGGTGCTCTGTTAAGCACATTGTTTCATTTGTTGAGTGCAGAACCGCGGTGGTTTACTGTTTGCTCATGTCATGTGGGAAAATGTACATCGGTCAAACGGGCCGGTGCATAAATACAAGGTTAACGGAGCACAAGAGAGCATTAGCTAATAAGGCCTACTCGCACTTAAGACGGCATTGCTTGGAATGTGGCTGCTCCCCGCTGTTCTCTGAGACTAAAATTCTTGCCAGCCACAGAGATAAGATGACAAGGGAAGTGATCGAGGCCTTCCACATCGCAAAAAGAAAAGATTACTGTATAAGCCAAGCATCGATTACTTTGAGCGATTGCGAAGTTGGCTTTTTAGAAAATACGTTGTCATTGTAGCACGTGGTACACCGTCTTGTTGTATAATAACCAAGGTCTTTTACGAAATAAACTAGTTGAGAGTGCAGCGGTGTCCCTATCGTCTCTCTTTTGTAAAACGTCGTGCGCTGCTTATTTGTAACCATATTCTCGCGGTGTCCACTTCGTGGTCATGGCCGATTCAGCCTCCACTGATCGGCAGGTGCCGGTGAACAGCGCGCCGCTTGTTTCCAGTCTTTTTTTCCACATTTTCATTATGACGTCACGCAGCTTTCACAGCTCTCGACATAAATGAGCAAGATGGAATGCATTTCGCCACTAGAAATGCCACACCCAGAGATCCGCCTTTTGACACACATCTCTGACGCCTTGCATATACTACTATCACGCTAGCCCTCAAAATAGGTCTAACGCGACCACCCACCACGCTCCTGCGATTTCGGTACGCGTTTCCTGCATCACTCTTCAAACATTTATGCCAGCTCACACGCATGTTCAGACTTGTCAAGTTTGTTTAAGCGACCCCGCCAAGGTGGCCTAGGGGTGAAGGTGCTGAGCTGCTGACCCGCAGGTCGTAGGACTGAATCCTGGCTGTGGCGGCTGCATTTTCGATGGAGGTGAAAATGCTGCGGGCCCGTTTGCTTAGATTTGGGTGAACGTGAACGAACCCCCCCGGTGGTTGAAATTTCGGGAACCCTTCACTACGGCGTCTCTCATAATCACATCGTGGTGTTGGGAGGTTAAGCCGCACATATCAATCAAGTTTGTGTAAGGGTCCTGTTGCCGCTCATTTCGTGCAGTTAAGTTACGTTTTACGCTGAGAAAGGGCTGGCGGATTCGGTGCGTTGACGTGGTCAAAAAAACGCCATGACGTTAGAACTCACCTTTTTTTTCGCGTAACTGAACGCGCCCCAGTGAATTGGACACCACGAGAATGACGCCCAAGAGAACGTGAGCTGCTGAGGAGAAAAAATTATGTAAACAAGCAGCGTAACTGCTAATGCAAGAGAGAAGTTTGGGAGAAAGTAGAGCCTTGGTGAGATTTAAGATTCGTGGAGCCAATGTTCGACAAGTAGTTTTGTGTCAAAGGCAGACGACACAACTTTTTGAAATGTTCACGTCAGCGACATTACCTGTCCAAGCATTTTGCATCTCTCTACACTCAGTTTCAGGTGCGACGCTGCGGAAGCGGTGATAGAAGTTCGGTCAGATAAATGTATAACTCCGCGCATCTCGCGCTTGGATTTTGCGTTCGAAACGTGGCCTCCGCGATGGGACTCCAGCTGGGCGCTGACGGAAGCAATTGCGGAGGCCACACTACGAAACGCAGAGAAGCCCTTGGAGTGACTCTGAACTACCTTATCTACAACTGCATAATTATTGAGGCCTATTTGTTTCTCACGCACAAGAAATTTATATGTATTATTATAAAAACAATAAAAGAAACATATTACGTGTAGCAGAGTCATTGAACTATTACTTTGTGCGAGCGGATCTGGCACAAGAGGTCCCCCTGGATTCCAAAGCGTTCCAGGTGACGTATTGAAATGAGTATAGGTGCCCTTTATGTACTATAAGCGAGAAATGGTTGAGAAAAAAAGAACTTTAGCCTTGGCTCCAATGACACCACATTGTAAAGCGACCTCTCAATTATGCTTCAACTAAACAGGAACCACATCTTCCTCAGTGCATGTTATGTTGTTTAGTTGTGGCGCCTTGTGTAACAAGTAATAATTAAAAATTATGTTGTTTAGTAGAGGTGCCTTGTGTAACAAGTAATAATTACACTTAAGAGGACAAGAAGAGAGCATAGGGGATTAACGAACAAACTGGGGCTAAGGACATCATAGTTGAAATAAAGAATAGGAAATGGACATTGGCCGGGCATGTAGCGAGTAGGCAGGACAACTGCTGGTCATTAGGGATAATTGACTGGATTCCCAGAAAAGGCAAGCTAGTTAGGGGGAAACACAAAGTTCTGTGGGCAGATGAGATAAGGAAATTGTGGGTTTAAAGCGGCCGCAGCAAACACAGGACCGAGTCGACTGGTGGATCAAGGGAGAGGCCTTTGTCCTGCAGTGGACGTAGTCAGGCTGATAATTAGAATGATATGTTTGAGGTGATGTGCAGAGAAGTACATTAGCACTAACTTTAATTTATCTTACAGGATAAGTGTGCCACGGAATGCTATCGCATTAATACGCGTGTCCGTTAATACAAGCGATGCATTTCCTGCTCTTGGAAAGCTGCGCACTCACGCCAACTTGAGTACAATCTATATGACGGGAAATGATTTGTTATAACGGAATACATCAACTTTTCAATCGCAGATACCGATTCTGATGATGTCCATCACGTTGTCGTTGTTCGCCGTCCTGCAACTGCTGGTGCAATTCCAAAGAACTCTGGAGTACACGGAACTGCCACAAGAGGTCGGTACTTTTTTACTTTTAAACGTGCCCGCCCTGTGACCAGCATCTACATATCAGCGTGCATCTTTTCCACACATATATTCTTGTTGCCATATATGCTGTCGGACAATTAAAAAAAGCGTGTCTCCCTCATAGTTCACATTCACATATACCAAGACACTGACATCGCATAATAAAGCCACTATGTTGTCATATATTGCATGGATTATTTCATTCAATAAATGCAATAAGCAGGTAGTGTGAAGAAGATTCGTCGTTTCCTTACTGCTGGCGGATTTCACGTACACCGTCCACTGGAAACTTAGTTAACAATGAAGAGGCGCTATGTACAAACTAATTGTTCTGAAAACCCGTACGAGACTTGAAAGTTCTGCATAATCATCAAACTTCGTCAATGATCGTAATTAACTTTTTTACCACATGTCTTATCAGAAAAAGCTTCACAGAACCTTTGTACTTGGTAATCAGCTTGAAGAAACAGAAAAAATTTACATCCGCGAAGCCTGACTAAATACGTATGCCATACATTTATTTTGTATATTAAAAAGTTGAGAACCGACTGACGAGTCAAAATGATTGCAACGTTGACGAACTTTATTCAATTTCATGAAGAATAATTTGAGCTAAGTGTTTGGGTTCAATCCTCGGAATGCTTATTTGCGGATCAAATGTTCTTTCGTATTTATTAATGGCTTGTTTATTATTTGTAGGAGCATGACCCTAGAGCCGAAAAAGAGGCCCTCGCTGCAATTCCGGCGGCGCCGCAGCAACAGCATTCTCCTCGAGGAAGTGTGGCCGACGAGGGGCAGAATCGAGTTTCAGCGCTACACCGCATCTTACCGACCCGGCGTGCTGCCCAACGTTCTCATCAGAGTTCAACTTCGTCATCGACGGCAGCGAAAAAGTGAGCACCGAAATGTCGCAGCGAGAAGCGTAACACGGGTGTTGATATAGGAGGACGCAAGAAAGAGTCGGTTGGCCTAATAGGTAGTTCATTGGTAACTAATAGTACTGACGTGACTTAATGTGGGCGTATCGGTCCCGATTCTGGCCTGAATCTCTTTGAAAATAACGAAGTGAAAGGGAAAAAAAGTTAAGGCATCCTCGCAGTACTCGCGCCAAGCCTGACGGAAGTGCGGAGCTGTGTAGCCATATTTTTCTTTTCAGTGTTCTATTTTTTCCTCCTTTCATTATTCATTGTTCTCTTTACCAGCAGCTCTGTCTTCTTTTCTCTATTACTATTTATTTCCAATTTACTGCCCATTTATTTCCATTTTTCTTCTTTCTATTTCTCGCTTGCTTACACTTTTATACATTTTTATACGTGTTTTTACCTGCGCTGTGCCAATTGATGACAGCTCAGGTGCGGCCCTAAAGGGCTCCGTACTTGAAATCATCATCGAAGCGCTCGAAAAACAAGAGGAAAACAACGTCGACGTCACGCTATGCGTGCTCAGTACAGATGGCTATACGACACGCGGTCCTGCCAGCCTTACGCCAAGCTGCAAAGGACGATGATAGCATAGGACAGTCAGGGCCCCTGAAGTTCTTCGCACTTGTAAAATAGAAAGAATCGTTACCGGCGTCCTTGTTTCCATTTCGTTCGGCGTCGGTATATAGAATCATGTAACGCCGTGAACTTGGCGCTCACTTGCTTTCGGTGTCGTAGCAGCCTGGTGACTTACATATCATCTTTATATTTAGCCCTAATGCGTGAGTGTGTGTAAGTGTGAGCTTGCTGACACATGCACGAACTGTTTTCTTTATTTGTGAAAAGAACGAATCAGAAAAACTAGACACCACTGCTGCCAGCAGAAGCTGATCCCGACCACACGAACACTGCTGTAAGGGCAGCAAAACTAAAGATAATAAAATAAGAATAGCCGAATGGACTTTTAGATACTAATCGTTTTTTTTTGTTTTTCGCGGCTCTTTAATATAATACGGTAATGAGTGCAGTCAGAACAGATACCTGTGTATGAACCAATTGCAAAAATTCTCGTTGCTTGGGCACTCCTAGACTCTGGAAAATGTGCTTGTTGACCAGAATGTGGGGAGCAAGCTGTTTTCCACTTTTCCAGCACCATAATTATTACAATGGTGAAAGATGTAAAATGGGATTTATCTTTATTTTATCTTGTAGCACACTAGTGCCTTGCCTTCATTGTAGACCGCTTTTGCACACTTAAAGCAACTTCAAGCCGCCAAAACGTCCTTTGCCCAAATAAAAAAATGGCAAAAAAATGGATGTGTAATGTTGTTTTCCTTCCTCGAATAGCCCTTTCATTTGCTTGAGGTTTAATCGTGTACCTTAAACAACCCTGATAAGGGAAGGGTGTTCATATTCAACATTCACTCAAGGGTTAAGGAGTAGCCGGCGCGTTACTTGTGCGCCAACATCTGCATGTAAATCTGGATTCTAACTTACAGACTGACGCCATCTTTTTAGATTATTCAAAAGCCTTCGACAAAGTTCCTCATGATCGTCTACTAATAAAACGTGATGCGTTACATCTAAATCCCAGTATTTTAGCATGGAATAAAGAATTCTTAAGTAATCACTCACAATCCGTCTTTGTTAATAACCTTATATCTAGTGCTACCCCTGCCATAGAGTTTCCTAATATACACTAAAGGGAACTGTGGCGCAAGTGTCTATGGGAGCTGCAACGCACGGCGCTTCAGCGAGCATGGGAATAATGGGTAGTACACACATTTGTCTAATATTCATATTTCCGGCCTGCTTTTGGCTCCATGCATGTTTGTGGGGCTTGGAGCTGTTTTCTCACAAAACAAATATTAGCAAATATTCAGCGGTTGCGCTTCACCATCTTATTCTTTTAGACTTACCTTTCCATATCGGGTCACGAAGTTTAAAAGGGTTGAATCTTTATGTCAAAACAAAACCGAAACACAGCAACTTCAGGCGTTCCTCAAGGGTTCGTACTTGGTCCACTGTTGTTCTTAATTTATAATAATGATCTACCATTGCATCTCTTATTTATAAATTATCCGTATGTTCACGGATGATTGCGTAATTTATCGTACCATTACTAACGTTTCCGATTACGCATCTCTTCAAAATGGCTTGCGAAGTGTGCAAGAATGGTGTAGCCTATGGCTAATTGAACTAAACCCTAATAAATGCAAGACTGTCTCTTTCCATCGCCGTAAGAATCCACTTACTTTTTCTTACCGAATTGCTTGTGCTAACCTTGAACTAGTTCCTTCCTACAAATATCTTGGAGTAACCCTTTGCAGTGATTTAACCTGGACGACTCACATTACGGACATCATTTCATCTGCCAATAAAACACTCGGGTTTTTAAAACGCTATCTGCGCCATGCCCCTCAAGATGTAAAGCTACTCGCCTATCGGTCTCTCATCAGGTCAAAATTAGAATATGCATCCCCCGTTTGGAACCCTCATCAACAATATCTGATCAATCAACTCGAGTCACTTCAAAATTGAGCTACAAGGTTTATTCACTCTTAGTACACATACGACATCAGCATATTGGCACTGAAAACAGAATACAGTTTATCATTACTCGCATCTAGTCGCCACACTGCCAGCATGTGTCTTTTTCACAAGTTTTTTTTACAGCTCCCTCGGTAAGCCACCGTACATTCTCCCCCCGACACGCATCTCCAGTCGCGCCGGTCACCCGCAACAAGTTGTCCGCCCACGTGCCCGCACCGTCACTTTTTCGTCTTCATTCTTTTTTCGTGCAGCAACCGACTGGAACGGCCTTTCCAATGACATCACAGCCATAAGCTGTCCTTCAACATTTTTGACAACTTTAACAGATCACTTTACAATGTAGTAAAACATGGCTTTTGTTTTCCATGTATGTACCCACCCCTTACGTAATACCCCTTCGATGGAGTCGTTAAAGAATAAAAATGAAATGAAATGGAAAAATTTCTTCATATATAGTATCCACAGAAAAAAAATTACAGAAACACCCATGCCTCATACAAAATAATATCAGATAATAATTGAAGCTCGGTAATTAGAAAAAAAAACGTTGACTCTTAGAGGTTTAGGATAACAGATATGCTGGCTTTAAAGGGGTCTGTAAGATTAACATCACCATACGAGTAAGATATGGTCGTTTATATTTCTGTTACGCATAAAAGAATCATCCGCAGAGGCACTGAAGCGAACCCGTGCGATTGCAGATGTCCACGTTAAACTTGTGCGGAATTATTTCTTGCATTCTGAGTCCTGCGTCGAAATGGGTTTCCAGAGTAGAACAGTTGTTGCCGTATGTAGTCACTTAATAATTGATGGGTCCTCAGCTAAAAAAAAAGTATATGTGGCACTTTACATTGATACGTTCCTGTGTACTGCTGTGTGGTGTATCTGCGGCATTTTTCCTTCGATAATGGAGCATATGGACACCTCTCCAACTAGCAGCATTCACGTCCTCTTTTTTTATAAGGTTGTTTTGACCATTGGAAGCCCACCATGCAATGGATATCGTGACTCTTTGGAATCTCTATTTTTTTCTAGGTTGTAACAGTGTCACTTACAGACACAGCAAAGCCCTTATATTTTATTTACCTATTTAACATACTGCAGCCTTGAAGAGCTATCGCAGAAGTGGAGGCAGAATACAAAAATTGCATGAGAGATAATGAATATTACTGTACAAAATGAATTCATTACGTGGTAATTATTTAACGTGGCCGGGGAGACATTCCATATTTCAATCGTGTGGCAAAAAAACTATATATACAGAGTTTTTTTGTCAACACTGCTAAAATCACCTTTAAAGAGTCTATAGTGCCTTACTATGTTCCCTTTTTGCTATAAATTTCGGATGCGGCGGTAGCATTTCGGTGGAGGCGAATTGGTCGGGGACCGTGTACTGTGCGACGTCACAGCTCCTTATAGAACACCGGATGGTCGAAATTTCGAAAGCGCCCCCTTCCCTTCCGCCTTGACAATCATATCGTGGTTTTCGCGCGTAAAAACTCAGATATAAATAATGTTTCATCACCCTAAACGTGGTTCACGTCATAATCTCCTTCTCAGTAAGCGCGCTTGCTTCGTCGCAGGTGGGCGTGGTGGGTCGCACGGGAGCCGGGAAGTCTTCATTGGTGCAGGCGTTGCTTCGGGTGCTGGTGCCCACCGAAGGCCGCATCCTCATCGACAGTGTCGACATCTCCTCGCTGACGCTCAAGAAGCTGCGCTCCGCCATCACCGTCATACCGCAAGTTGGTAACGCGCATGCGCCAATCAGGTTGATTCCTCATATCGCGAGATCAACGAGGCTTGCATATATACTCGCCTTCTGATGCGTTCGGTCTCCGTTCTTTTTTTTTTAGTTCTAGACAGAAACAGGTACAAAACCGCACGCATCAGCTCAGAAGCCCACCGCATTAAGGAATTCAGGGAAATGCTTTATTACTCTGCTATTTCTATTTGATTCCGTGTATCCTCATTGGATATAAGCCGCGTCCAGAATAAAATCAGAGAAAGATAATCTATACAAAGATGACAGAAAAATAAGATGCCTTTATGTTATTTAGTTTATCTAACTTATGTGATTAGTTCGTATAGGCTTTGTTACATCAATTCCCCTTTCTTTTTATGCTTTACTTTGGCAATGATACATACTCTGCATGCTTTTTGCCAATAAATCCAGTTTTCAGAGAGCGCCTGTGCGTGCGTGTGTGTGTGTGTGTGTGTGTGTGTGTGTGTGTGTGTGTGTGTGTGTGTGTGTGTGTGTGTGTGTGTGTGTGTGTGTGTGTGTGTGTGTGTGTGTGTGTGTGTGTGTGTGTGTGTGTGTGTGTGTGTGTGTGCGTGCGTGCGTGCGTGCGCGCGCGCGCGCGCGTTCTGTCTGCACTTTCACTTCTACAATTCCCTTTTTGTTTGATGCATACAATAACATCAAAATATACAAAGTGTAAATTTTCGATTCGCCGCCGAAATCTGCCAAATTTGATTGCTCGGTTAAAATTGCCATCATTCGCTTTTTTTTTATACCTCAAGTTGGCAATGAGATTTTCGCTGGAGGAGGCTGAATTGTCCGCTGGAGGAGGCTGAATTTTCCACTTTAATTTTAATGCTCCCTTTAGCCTGACCGTCTGCATAACCAATTGTTAGCAAGCTAAGCGAGTTTTTTAATGAATATAAGCAATTTTAATGTCTTGTTAACACGTCTGCCACAACAGAAAAACTAATTGTGAAGACATTGAGTCAATATTTCATTACCTTTATATTTTACGATCCTCATTCATAATTGATATGTATGTGGGGTTCAACGTACCAAAACCACCATATGATAATGAGAGATGCCGTAGTGGAGGGCTGCGGAAATTTCAACCACCTAGGGTTCTTTAACGTGCACCCAGATCTTAGCACATGGGCCTGCGGCATTTCCGCCTCCATCGAAAATGCAGCTGCCAAAGCTTGGATTTGATCCCGCGACCTGTGGGTCAGTAGCCGAGTACCTTAACCATTAGACCAGCGCAGCGGGGCTATTTTACGTTTCTTAGATTTATTTGTGGGAACAATTATGTGTGTGGGTTATACACTGAGGGCCGCGGCTACTCTTTTTTGTACTGAGAATTCAAGATAGTGAAATCACAGCACGAACTTGGATAACGTGATAAGTAATAACACTAAAGTTGACAAACTCTACGCTCATTAAGACTCCTAGTACGTGGTCACAAGGCCAGTAGCCAAAAAGTTTTTGGAGGAGGGGGAGGACACTTGTTGAAATCCCTATAAAAAGACCTATATATTGTTATTTGTTCTAGGTAATATAACCGAATTCCCAGTCACGGGCCTGTCGGTCACACGCTGTCACGTACAACGCTGTTAAAGTGCGGCCACACACAATGTTATTGTTTAGAAAAGCTCCAGTCACGAGCATTAACGCTGACACCAAGCCTCGTTACACGAACAGTGAATGCGTTGAAGCATAATCCGGCAAGGTCAGTTGAAAATATATATACGTACTAGGAGCGTGCGCCAGATATAAGACGTTGTAATTTTCAAAGATCTTCATTGCGTCTAGAAAACCGTTCAGTCCCAATTATTCCCGCCAATACGTAGCGTGCGTGTTGGTGATAGAAAAACTTATCGGGATAGTACATCGAGTTTAACCAAGGCGTTCTCTTATTTTGTTTTTGTAGAACTATTTTTGTGCTTGCGCTGTCGCCATAACGACTCTATTGATGGGATTGCTGTCAGGACCCAACCCTTGTGACGGGAAGCCTGCGGGACAATCTGGACCCCACCCGCAGCCACACTGATGCCGACATCTGGGACGCGCTCAAGAAGTCTCACCTGAGCGAGTTCGTGTCCAGGAACCCTCACGGGCTGGACCTGGCCGCTGGAGAGGGCGGTGCAAACCTCAGGTGAGCACCTGGCTGGTCAATCATGTTGCTGTAAGGCGTGACCCGACTAGAATGGACAGAAAGTTTAACTAGCTCTTCGCACTCTACATTCTCTCAGTTTTATACTTTGAATTATCAAAATTATAGACCATCTCCCAAAGGGAACCGTGATGGGATGCGAAGCAGCACTGGTGTGCACGCCGTTAAACCGGCTGCAATTGGCGTCGACGCGGGGGCTGGAAGAACGGTTCGAAGCGAAACTCGGTGTAGCCTTTACTTTAGTAAGCGTTTCTTTGCAACGAAAAACACATGGGAGGCTGGTTAGGTTTTGTGTATGTCGCATTGCAGACAAACAAGCCGAAAGAATGTTTCCACTCCACGTGCGGTGGAACGTTGCGGGCGGTGGAGAGGGCGAAGCGAAAGAGAAGCGTGTTACGAGTGAACGGATGAGCAACACCACCTAGGTGTGTTAAGAGGAGCCGGCAGCTTCTGCGGGTGATGGAGAGAGGGACGTCAACGCGCATCTGCGACTTGACCTACTTGACATTGTTCCAACCACTGCGGCGGGGGAACGTGGCGCGGCGCGTTGGCACGAAGATACGGAGGGACAGCGTTACACAGGCTGCTCAATGAGCCCTTTCGCTGATAAGAAAGTTTTTCTACTTGCACCACAGTCAGTTGTCAAAGATCTATCAGCAAAAAAAGTGCAAAGCGTACAGACACAGAAACAGGAGAAAATAAGAGCTTTCTTTGTTTAGCTCTCTTCTCATGCGTTCGTGGCTCAACAAGTTCTTTCATACTGACCTGACTACGTAGGGTCAAGCCAATTCGAACTCTACAGGCTCCCTGTACAGAGTGGGGCACCTTGCTTTCATTCTTGTGTAAGATAAATCCAGAGGAAATGGGCAAAATAATTGTCCTCCATATAAGGAGCGCTGTGTCCCGACAAAGCTGGTGTGGATTAAGCGCATTATTACTGTCAGTTTTTTGCCAATGATGACGTTGATTTGGTCTACACCACATAGTAAATTCAATCACAACCAAAATCGACTGTGAAGTGTTCTTTCTGAACATCGCTTGTTACAAAAATTTATAATGCAGCTCTCACACGCAAGCTTATGACGCCATTTTACAAGACAACGGTGTGTTTGTGCCAATAAAAGTACGTTTTACTAGAAGAGCACCGAGCAGGTGGCTCAATCTTTTTTGTGCATAGGAGGAGCTCCTGCTTTTTGCACCTAACTGCGACATCTTATTAGGAAATGCGTTTTCTATGCTAGTGGTGTGTCATCCTTCAATGATAACGGAATCGAAGAGCAGTTATGTCCACATCCACTATTCTGACTCTCGAGTATTATAGCATGGGTCTGGGAAGTCATCAAAATACTAAACCAGATGCACTCGAAGGAAATGTTGCACGAACTGCAGAACATTGATTTTTTTGTGCTTTCCTTGTGTTTATAATGTCTTTGTCGACTTTTTTTTTCTCTTTCGTTTTAATGTGCTGCGTTATTTTGTGAGTATGTATTTTCTGTGCCATGGTCTTCCTTCTATTGTGCTTCTGCTGTTTTCTGCTCCAAGCGAGGGGTGGCTAGCTCCCGGCGCTGGGTGCTCCGCTGTCGCTCCGCTGGCTCGGACAGACTAATCAAAGCCTAACCGCAAGGGAGCCTTCATATTCTCGCCGCCTGAGGCGTGCACTTGATGGCTCCCTAGGTTGTAGACTAGGCGTCGCGCCCTCTTTCTACAAAGAGAGGACTCGCAGATCTAGGCTTCGAAAACACCTGTGGTTTTATTACTCCTTTTTTGCTTTTGTTTTCGAATAAAATAATGGAATGTTTTGAACTTCGTGAGCCGATTTGATTTATGACCACAAAAAGGTCAAGGCGGTGAAGCGTAACTGCTATACCTTCGCTCAACTTCGTCTTGGTGCAAAGTGTATTCAGGCCATGCGGACCTGAACTGAGCCGAAAGAACGACTAGACAAATCTTTACACAACAAGTTGTTCCCAGAGTTATTCAATCCTACGAGTTGCGATACTCTCCATAGGTACCATGTATCAAAATCCAGACACGTGATTGGCCGAAATGGCGGGAGTGTGCAGATTGTCGCGACCCATTTCGATGAATAAGCCAACTATTAAACGTATTAATTCGGGTTTTGTGCTGCCGGTCTCAGATGACACGACAGCCTGCGAATTCTCGCAGGATCGCCCAATCGCGTGTTCGGGTTTCGAAACGCATTTTACCAACAGATCTGATTGAATAACTCTGCATCATCTCCATGCTGGCTGAAGCGCCGCGTGTTGCAACTCCCATAGACACTAGCGCCAGAGTTTCCTCTAGTGTATTTATGAGAAACTCTGTGCGTGTGGTAATGGCCTCCGAGATGGCGGGTGCGTGGCGTACCATCTCGGGGGCCTTGGTGTGGTACGCGTGGTCATGCTTTCAGCCTTTCGGCGACGCTGGCACTGACGGGATAAGCGCGCGCTAGCGTTTCAAACGTGCAGCCTTCTTAGCTGATGTATAACAAGCGTGGGACCTGCAAGTCGCCTACTCGAGGCAAGATGCGACGATAGAGGAGTTGGGTAAGCCGCTGCTCAGTTAAGAAAATCATGGGCGACGGCGCTGTTATCTTCGCAGTGTCGGCCAGCGGCAACTGGTGTGCCTCGCGCGGGCCCTCCTGCGACGTCCCAAGATGCTCGTCCTGGACGAGGCCACGTCGCAGATGGACGGCGACACGGATCGGCTCATACAGAGCACGCTGCGACAGTGCTTCGCCGGATGCACACTGCTGGCCATCGCGCACCGGGTGCACACCGTGCTCGACTACGACAAGTGAGCCACACGCACACATGGCAACTGTGCACTGCTTCTGTCGAAAGCCAAATTTCCGAAACGGAAACAGACTCGAATAAACTCCTAGCAGAACACAACTAAGCAGCAGTCAGTTTAGCTTCATCTTTGATAACTGTAGTCTTGGATAATAGTGGCGTTCTTTTGAATCTCTGTTTTCAGTTATCTGATAAGTAAGGGCCGACTATTGACTGAGTAACTGAATCCACAATTTTTTTCTTTCCTTCTGTCCTTCTTTCTTTTTCTTTCTTTCTTTCTTTTCTTTTTTTCTTGATTTTTGTTAGTTTACGTGAACCGAATCGAAGCTGTCAAAATACACATATCCCGCATGAAAATGAGCTCACTCTAGAAGGCCCCGTGCGACGTCCCTAACCTACGAACACATTCTCGTTAAGTCACCATCACGTTTACTCTCGTTTGTGAACAGCGACAGCTTGTTTTTGTTTGTTTGTTTGTTTTTGTTTTTGTTTTTGCGGAAGAAACGTCCTACAGTTGCTTATTTTCCTTCCACCTGTTCTAATTATTGCTCGCCCCAGTTTTAATAAGTGGCTAAAGTAAAAAAATCACGACAGTTATACAAAGCAATTACATTGTGGTCATATATTATAGCAGATCTTCCGGCACATTTGCAGTGTTTGAATAGATTGTTGTCGTAAAAAAGAAACACAGAAAATTAGTTTTACTCGCAAAGCGAGGACACAAATTTGTATCACGGCGTAGTGAGAAACTCTGGATTTGGTTTCAACCACCAGCTGTTCTTTAACTAACGTGCACATACGAGCACGGGCATTCATGCATATCTCACCCTAAAAATGCGGCCGCCTTGGCCCAAAATGGAGCCAATGTCCTTGAAGTTGACAACAAGACATATCGGTTTCTATACTACACCGCGGTTATAGTTTACGCCATATATCCGATTCCATTCTTGATTCATGGGTGCCGCCATTTTGAAGCAATAAGTTGGTTTTTCATGTAGTAATATGAAATGATATCATGGTCACGAAACGTTCAATGTACCAGCGCCTCCGTGCGTGGCAGTTCACTTTAGCGCTGTTTGTTCATTTATACAGATACAAGAATCCAATCTAATCATTCGAAAATGGCGGTACTTGAGAGCATCCGGAAAAAGGTGTATAGTCTCTCTCTATGTTGTCACTGTTCCTTCAAGTGCAATGAAGAACGCGTTGAGGTAGTTATATAGTGTTGACTGTTAACGAAGTCAAAAGAGTAAAAAGCGGGGTTGATCGGGGCACGTGGTGTACTTTTTACTTTGTCCATACCGGACTCACTTCTTTCTTCATTGGATCATTAGAACATTTTGAAAATTACATGTCATGAAAGAGACAGCTTAGCGAGCGTCACATCTGGCAGGTTCTATGTAATATTGAAGCGACAGATAACTGTATAACTAGATTCAAGCTTTGTGTGCCTGAATTGGTGCCTTATGCAGCTCTATTAAGGGTAGTGCAGGTTGCATGGGAAATTAAACATTACAAACAAGTACCGAGGTAATACAAGTGTGTTAGACTTTCTGACTCGGTTTAGAATCTTACATACAGTACTGAAACTGCGGCATTGAAAAACACTTTGAGGCTACGCTTAGTGCGCATACGATGCTGAGGAAATTGCATATTTCTATGAAGCGGGTTTGTTTCTCCCGTACAAGCGGTTGTTTTTTGCCAAAATCCAGTTTATTTATTTAGCATTTAATGTTTGGATCCATATAATTAAGCAACCGTTCCGATGTTTATTTTATGTTGCCTTCTTTTATTACGACTGACAAACAGCTCACTTTTCTGTTACCCTCTTTAGATTGTTACATCAGTCACTCAGTTGCATTTAATATATACTGTGTCCTACACGTCCTAATATTAGCTGTTGATTTTTATGCCGTTCGCCATACAGATGTCGTTTTGTCATTCGCGCAGTTGTCGGATTTTCATTTCACCTCCCCTTGCCTTGCAAGCGAAACAGACCGACACTGCAATGACGTCTTTCCTTCTCGCGTCACTTTTGCTCTAGAATCCTGGTGATGGCGGCAGGCGAGGTGGCCGAGTTCGGACCCACCAGGCATCTCCTCGAGGATCCGAGTTCGCTGTTCCACGAGATCGCCAGGGACGCCGGTGCCATACCTCCAAACGGGCTCCACAGCCCCATCACTGGAACAGCCGTCTCCGTCCCGCGACCACGTACCAGCTTTGTCGCGGCTCGTATCTTGAGCAGTGTCCCGCAGGCATAATCGCCGCCATTCCTCCGAACGAGGCGTCCTGCCGCACCTGACAGCCGGAGGGAGTGTTACGTAAACACAAGAAAGCAAGAAAAAACTAGGTGGTAGCATCCACGCGATTTTCATAGCCCCGGCTGTCCAACTTCTTCGGAAACCACCTCTCACAACCGGCGTGTGATGCATCCTGAGTAGGATTGGGCCAACCACAGCAGACGCAACGAAATCGAGCCGGCCAATAGCAGTGCTTGACTAACGCGTGAACAAGACTTGTCCCCCCCTGCCTTTTTTTGTTTAAATAGTATTAGAGAAGATCACGTGACACTCCCTCAATGTTTCTTTCATCCACGTATAAAGCAGCCCGCCAAGAGCATTGCCCATTTAAGTCGCTCTGACTGGATGTCATATTAGATTAGATCGGTTACGGTGGGTTTACCTGTGTGCCAGCCCTGGAGCTCTATCCAATCAGCGTGCGCCAATATGGGCTGCGCAGTAAGCGGACTCTCACATAATACGACGCGCATACGTGTAGGGTACCAAGGGTGTGTGGTTACGCAAAAATATCTAACAACAAATTCATGATGTACTACGGAAAGCGGATCCTTACAGAATACCACCGGTTAAAATGTAGTGCACAATGCGTGCGTGAGTAAACAAAATTATTCAAGAACAAATCGACCTTATGTGTCCTTACAGGGAAAAACGTTGAGTTAGTTGGTACGAATTCAACATAGAAAATTATCTACTCTTGGAAAACGCTGTCAAAGTGAGCTTCTGACAGCCTCTGGACTTGTACTTTAGATGCCTCACTTTAGAGTAATGCCTAGGAAAGGCAAGAAAATGTGGCTAAGTTTACCATCCCATTCTGAATACGATTTCTTGCCAAGTCCTGATTGGTAAACAATATCGCTAACTGATCCGCATGCTCTATTTTCACAAAAAAATTACCTGAAACTTGTTGACAGAAGCTTACCGACACTTCAATAACGTATGATGAAAGAGACAACTTTAAAAAAAACTGTGAAAGTCATTGAATTGTTTCTTTTTTCGGAAAATGTCGTGCCCCACTTCGTCGTTGTTTTGTTGTCATCGTGGCGTTATTCAATTCGTAATCAATTCAGGCTTTATATGACACTTCACACATCCCTGTTGTACTATGTATACACAGAATGAATTCGGCGTGCCCAGTCTCTGTGCTTGACAAAGTGGATGTAAATTCAATGAAGGCTGGACTCACTCTCTGCGTTGGCCATGCTTCCCAAGTGCCTTAAAGCAAAGCTCTGAGTTGACGGTGAACATGTCTCGCCATTGTGCCGGAATCAACTCGAATCATATACCATGTGGCTACTGACATACATCACAGCATGATCCTGCTTTGCGATGCAAAGCTGCGCTTCATGTAGAATAATGCTGCCGGAATGCCGGTGTCTTCATCGTTAGCACGTGGAAAGCGTGCCATATACAGAAGATAACCGTGTTAATTGAATGACAGATGGATTTGATTATCAATAAAATGTATTTTGTAATGCAATGAGTGTACGGCTTGGTTTTTTTTTTTTATTGAATGGAGTGTACGTGACCGAGTTTGTTTGGGTCAAATATGTGTACGGGCCGTTGGCATGGGTCAACAACAACTTTATTGCCGATAGCGACGAGTTTAAGTAGGCCAGGCGGGTGACGTCACGCTTACGTAGGAGCGACAGCTTGCGCTCGCTATCGCGGCCGTGCCAAGTCGGTTACATCTTCCTTTCCCTGGGGAAATGTTGGTGGCTCTGGCATTCGGTACCGACGAGGCTCACGACGTTCCCGAGTGCTTCTCCGTGGTAGTGGCGGCTCTGGAACGGGATCCGAGCCTGGCAAGCCTGATGAAGGTGTTGTGGAAGTGTCGGGGCATGGTAGCTCTGGAACCTCCCGCAGATGTTCCCGTGTGTGGCGCATTTCTCGTCCATCTTCTGTTTTTACCAGTACGAAGCGTGGAGCTCCCGCTTATCCCAGCACAACGACCCGTGACTAAGTCCGTGTGTGCGTGTCGTACAACGAGGCCCTCTGACCGGGTGAGAGGGAGCGCCGGTCCCGAGCACCTCGATTGTAGTAGACCTTCTGCCTGTGGCGAATCTCCTGGAGACGGGTGTGCACATTTCCGCTGGGCAATGGTGACGGCTTTAGGTGGCTGGAGGGAACCGGGAGCAGTGTTCTCGTCTGTCGACCCATCAGCCTGTGCACAGGTGACTTCAGAACAAGGAGGTTCTATACTATGTCTTTTGGAGTGGAGGTTCGCCCCGATAAGTGACGCCGGTCGCCGCCATGTTGGAAAAGGAAAGACTCGGAAGCAGACGACAAAGTGCGCTTCGTAGCTCCGCCCGAAGGTCGATAGTGGAAAAATACGTAGCACCGTAAAGGCTTCGTCGATTCTAGGCAACGGATAAACATCTTCCTTCGTAATTTTGTTGAGATGCCTATAATCTACACAAAAGCGCCATGTTCCATCCTTCTTTCTGATCAGGACGACAGGAGAAGCTCAGGGGCTACAAGAGAGCTCGATTGTGTCTTTTGCAAGCATCTTTTCGACTTCCTGTTGTATGATTGTGCGCTCGGACGCGGAAACACAGTATGGACGTCGGTGAATGGGACTCGCGTCACCAGTATTGATGCGATGAGTTATAACACTCGTTCGGCTTAAAGCCGTGCTGGCGAAGTCAAAAATGTCACTATAGGACTCCAGGACGTGACGAAGGGCTTCTGCTTGATCAGGAGCGAGGTCTGATGGTACCATGTGGTCAACGTTGACGCCCGATGAACGTAATAGAGTTGGTTCATGGTCTGAGGTGCAGCAATCATCCACTCTGAAGGGTTCAACCGTATGGTCTTGTAGAGCAGTAATTTCGGCCAGGGAGATACCTTGTGGAAGAATTTCGGCAGTGAGGGCAAAATTGACAATAGGAAGGCATGTGCGGTTTTCCACGATTGCCAAAATGGTGTGCGGAACAGCGACGCCTTGCGTAAGTATCACGGCATGAATTGGTGCCACCATGTAATCGCCGTCAGGTACAGGTGGTGTAGAGAAGAGGTCGATATGTGTGACACAGGCGGAAGGCGTGCAAAACCAATGCAGCAAAAGCGACTTTATGGGGGGGTTGGTCAGATCAGAAATTAGAGGCATTTCAAGGTCAAGACAGCCGGCTGAACAATCTATAAGGGCCGAGTGAGCGGTTAGAAAATCCATGCCTATAATTACTTCATGAGGGTAATTTTCTATAACAATGAAAAGATTAGCAGTGCTTCTATCGGCGATAGTCACACGGGCAGAGAACATGCCAATAATCGTGGCAGTTCCCCCGTCGGCGACTCGAACGGCTCGGTTCAAGGCGGGTTTGACAACTTTCTTTCGGTGGCGACGAAGAGCAGCACTCATTATGGACACATGCGAGCCGGTATCGATCAACGCGCGCACAGGTACATTGTCTAAAGTAACGTTCAACAGATTCCGGGTGGTCGATAATATTAGACGAGGATTTCTTGCAGAGGTCGTCGTCAATGCAGCTTCACCTCCAGAAGCTGCACTGCCTAGTTTTCTAGTCGGAGGCGCTGCGAATAGGTCGGAGAGGCAGGACGGCGTTGTGGGGGCGAACGAGATTGACGGCGAGCAGGGGATGGTGAGCGGGCGTAGCGAGGTCTCGTCAGAGGTGCGGCAGAATCAGAGGATTTGGTCGGCATAGGGGAGTCAAAATAAAATGTTGAGGATGACTGATGGTCAGAAGTGGCCTGGGTAGGAGGCCCATAGCGTGCCCGCGGAGCCCAGTGATTGCGGCAGTGGCGAGCAATATGACCGACACATCGGCAGTTGAAGCATATGGGCTTGTCGTCTAGTGTACGCCATTCGGACAAATTGCGCTGTCGAGGGTAGTTAGAACCAATTCGAGGAGCGGAGGGACGATGATAAAAAAGCTCGGCAGAGTAGACTGGTTGAATGGGGTGTAGGCCGACGTTCGATAATTCTTGACGAACGACGGCTTGTATCAGTGATATAGTGGTCGGTGAAGGATCAGGCGTTGGAAATGGAGTAGCTACTGGTTGGGCTGCCTCGACCTCACGACGAATGATGCGGGTGAGGTTGTCACATCGGGGAACTGGGCGGACGGAGTCATCAAAAGAGGAAGTAGCAGCTCTGTTCGGCAGGAGCGTGATGCCGTGGGTGACGCGGCGGGCTTTAGCCTGTTCTAGACGGCGGCATTCTGTCAGGATCGTGTCGATGCTCGTGACATTATTAAAAACCAGCAGGTTGAAGGCATCGTCAGCAATTCCTTTGAGTACGTGATTAACTTTTTCTTCTTCTGACATGCGCTGGTCAACCTTGCTACAAAGCGCCAATACGTCAAGAATGTATGAGACATACGATTCAGTAGACGTCTAGGCGCGAGTGGCGAGTGTCTTCTTGGCAGCGAGCTGACGACCAGATGAATCGCCGAAAAGATCACGGATCTTCGATTTGAAAAGATCCCAGCTTGTGATTTCGGCTTCAATGGTTTCAAACCATGTCCGCGGCGTGCCGTCGAGGTAGAACACAACATTGGCGAGCATGAGCGTGGGATCCCAGCGGTGGGTAGCACTGACTCGTTCGTACCGGTGCAGCCAGGAGTCAACGTCGATGGTGCCGTCAGCGGAGAAAGTTCCAGGATACCGCAGGGGTGGAAGGGTGACGTAGGTTGTCGACTCGGATCGAGAGACTGGTGGGAACGAGGCACTGGCAGTTGAACTAGCCGAAGAGTCCCCGGTGTTGCGACCGCTGCGCGTCTCCATCGAGGTACGGGAGTCGTCCACCTTCACCAATAATGTTACGGGTAAGTTATCTAATAAATTGAATACGATGCACCGTGCTCGGCGAACAAGATGGCGACAGTTCATCAACAACCAGCCACCAACGTCGTCTTTCTCTTTCTTGCAGACAGGCTGTGCCGGCTGTTGCGTATCAATATCAAAGGTACGCATGCGTGTAATACACGCGTATAGCTGTACGGAAGGTAACTTGAAGCTTTAAATGCTCGCTGACACGACGTTGTCCCCGGTTTTAGGTTTATGGACGAAGGACTTGCGCTCGGTGGCTGCACGTATCAAACATTGAAACGAGTAGGACGTCTGAATGCCCTTTGAATCCCAAGTTTTCTGGTGTTGTTTTACTAGACAAGACTGATGGCGTGCATGCATATTTTTTGGCGAGTGAATATCGAATTAGGTGCATGTCTATCGAGGAATTTGCAAACGTAGAGAACAATTTCATGCCTTGATTATCCGTGTTACAGGTTTCCGAAAGACAGTGCGCTGCGTTCTTCTTGGGAACGTGCTGTTCGAAAAAATAGTTGGAGGGCTACGGACGCTGACCACCTCTGTTCTATTCACTTCGAAGAATGCGACTTCGGCCGAACGGGGCCGACAACCACACTGCGGCCTGGCAGTGCACCTTCGATTTTTCCTACTTTCCAAGCACATCTGCAAAAACCTCTTAGTTTCTACCTCCTTGACGTAGCTCCATTAGAATGTAGTCACAAAAATAAGCAATTGCGTCTAAAACAAGATGAGACACGTACCTTTCAAATTCGTTCTATATTTACCGACGAAACCTAAACCAAAACACCCATAGACGAAGTTGACAAAATGAGTGAGTGGCGTTATATCAAACATCGAGATACCTCGTTTCTAGGCTTAGAAGGCGGCGTTTGTCATGGCAACACACGTCGCCAACGGAAGTTGATAAATATTATGCGTAACTAGCGCCACTGCAATCGTTCTTATAAATGGTTCATTTGGGGGACGTATCCTGGAGTTTGTCACTAGCACGTGACATCGGTGCTTCTGTTTTGGTTCCGCCTGTAAATTGGTTAGAATTCGATAACTCTAGAAAAATTACCGGTGCCTCCCAGTTTACTTAATTACCTCACTTTTCTAACTTTAGCTTTATATTTCAACTTTCTTATATATTGCTACTGTATGAGCCGGGCTGTAGTATGTGTCGGGTAGGTAAAAGAGGAAGACTACGTTGTCTGGTGCGGCCTGAGGAATCCATCTTACCAAATTACTTCGTGGCATGGGTTTACTCCTTTCTAAAAGATAGAGAATTCTATTGCTCTCAATCTGGCATGTCGTCTTCAAATTATAAACAAACTAGAGGTCTCCCCCAAGGATCGGTTCTTTCACCATTATTATTCAGTATTTTATTGCGCACAATTCCAGTACAACAGGATGTACATGTGTATGTATATGCTGACGACATAGCATTTTTTGCCACAGCTACAGATATACATATATTATATCAGATGTTACAGTTTTATATGAACGCTCTGGACACATGGTTAGACGACATTAATCTATCATGAAACATCAGGAAAAGTGCAGTCGTAGGTTTTTCTATAAGTGATCCAGTGCAGATTTCCGTACTTTACAGACAGGACTTTATCCCGCAGGTGGCATCCATTAAATACTTAGGAGTGACTTATACTGAAAACCTCAATTGGAGTCCACACATAGAAATATGGCAGC